CCTATGAGACGATTTGTCATGAGTCGGGCTACATGTAGAAACAGCTTTTGCTTTACTTTGAGTTAAGTGTTTTGTACGTCTTTGTTGGAAAAATTGGCATTGCATCAGTTGTGTTTGTATACATACAAGTGCTGTTTGTGGTTATTTGTCGTGTGTTTCTACAATTTTTATTATGTTTTACAGGTGATTTTTTATCTGAAAATGAGTAAACGTCCTCCGAATCGATCACCAGTGAGTGAAAAAACAATTTTTGATTGTTTGGTGGCTGATGGTATCGATGTAAACGACGATGAGTTGAGTGACAGTTTCATCAACGATATTGAATCATCATCCCCAGAACCTCCTGTTTCAGATTCTGAATCTGAATCTCTTGCTTTGTTGTTTGGCGACGATACAGACGAAGACCCTGACTATATTCCCTCTACAGATATTTAAACATCAGATGATGACTACCTAAACCTACCAAGTACTTCCAGTGGATCGCCTAGGCCTAGGCCTTTTGTTCTGCCTCCAAAGCAACCTAGAGGTAGGCCTAAGAAAAACAGTTATTCTGTTACTAACAATGTATGAACAATGTATGAAATGATAGGCCTAACCGTCCTATAAATAGTGAAAATGTCTTAGAAGCAGGCCTAGATATAAATGAAAATGTAGCTCCAGAGAGGCCTCCTCCTGAGACTTTAATTTGGGATACGGTTGAAGAAGGTTCAGATCCCGGGTATGAGCATACATTCATCTATGCGGAGGAGCCAGGTCCTAAAAATTGCCCTGATTCTAACGCAAGCCTCATAGATTACTTCAACATGTTTTTTACACTAAATTTACTGACAACATTTGTAGATATGACCAATCGCTATGCAAGCAACTATCTTAGATCACATCAAAATCTCTCCCCAAATGCGAGGTGCAGAAAATGGATTCCAGTAACTGTTCTTGAGATGAAGGCTTTTATAGCTACAATTCTAAATATGGGCATCACCAGGAAACCAACTATAGAATCTTATTGGTCCACCAATGGTTTTGCAAAATGTTTAGCCGTAACCGATTCGAAGCGATGCTTCAATTTTTTCATATTGTCGACAACCGTAATATTCCAAATCCAGGTGAACCTAATTACGATCCTGCAGCCAAATTTCAACCTCTAGTGGATCATGCGAACAGAGTGTTCAGAAGGCATTATACCCCTCACAGAGAGATATTTATCGATGAAAGTTTGATCGGTACTAAAAGTCGTTCGAAGCTAACTCAGTATCTCCCAAACAAGCACAATCATCGGTGGGGGATTAAGCTTTGGATGTTGTGTGATAGTGTATCAAAATATTGCTTAGGTTTTACTTGTTACAAATGCAAAAGTGATGACGGAAGACTTGTGCATGGTCTTGCCTACAAAGTAGTTACAAAGCTCCTTCAAGTTGGTCCTTATCCAAACAAAGGCTACTCGCTTTTTGCAATATCTGCATTCAATGCAAAAAAGGGGTGCATGCTGTATGTTTTGGACGTCACAAATGTTAAAAATGTCTCATCAAGTAAAATATGTATATAAGTATGTAAATATCCCATGTGTGTTATGATAATTATTTCTATTTTGTTTAGTAACTATGGATTATAAAGTAAATAAACTTAGTTATGTGAAAGTCAATAATTAGGACTAAGTGAGAAGAGTATGTGCGAACATGCAAGTGCTTCCCGAAAGAACAAATTAAAGCCTTTTTCAAAAAAGACCACTGTGAGCATATTTTTTAAGGTAAGACTTTTAAATTTTGCCAGTTTACTAACAAATATATGTAGAACACAAATCTAACACTTACTTATAAGAAATAATTTTTTCTGGTGTAGTTGCTGGCTTATGAAGTTAGTTTTTATGTATTTTTTTTGTATTGTGATACATGTTTTTAATATGTATGGAAAAAAATCACATTTAACCTAATAAATTGTATATTAATTTGAAGACAAATTTATAACTAATCTAGCAAAAAAAGAATTATTGTTCTATGTCTAAAGAAACAAGAGATAGAGCTTGTTAATCAAAACATTGCGCTCCACCAAAAAACGGCCTTGGCGGTTTTGGCATGCAACCACTTAAAAAATGTGGCAACGAAAGGGTTAAAAATCAAAATTTCAAAACTCATGGAGATACCATGGATTAGAACCTACATACCAAATTTCATCAAAATCGGACCACAGGTGTAGTCCCTAGGTCTGTACACATCCAGACACACACACACACACACACAGACAGACATCACTTCGTAAACCACTTTTTGGGTCCAGGGGGACCCAAAACGAATATATCCACTCAAAACTCAAACTCTAAAATTTTGACAAAAACAATACTTTCTTCATATACTATGGTATAAGAAAAAGAAATATTTATTTCCATTGATCTTTACAAAAGAAATAGGACACGCCATTTGTTATACATAGTTACAAGGTGATTCAGTTTTTCAGTACAATATTATCTAAATTTAAATGGCAGAAAATATAATGACAATTTATGGAATGTATGTTTTTGAAACAATTTTATCAGTAAAGGACAGACTTCATTATTTGGAACGAGTTGGCGATAGTCATAATTATTTCACCAGAAATCGGGAAAACCTTGCAACTGGCCACATAGACTGAAACGTTTTGAGAAAAAAAACCATGTATGCGGGATCAACATTTTTTAATAACCTTCCAACCTAAATTAAATCAGAGACTTCCAAAACAATATTTAAAAATAAATTTTAAAAAATTTCTCATCAGCAAGGCTATTTTTTCTTTTGAAGAGTTGAATAGTTTTTTAGGTTAAAATTGATTCAACATATATATTTTTTGTTTGCAATTGTATTCATTTTGTTTGGCTTTGCCTTTGTCTTATTATTAAAAATTTAAGTTTGTCAAATTTTTTTTATATTTTTGTATGTAAGAAATGTATTTAATAACTCCTACTTCCAACTGTTGATACTATTCAATGTATTTCTATGTACAAGAGATGAATAAAGTCGTTTAGAATTGAAATTAATTGAAACGCTCTTTTTGGTCACAGAAATTTGCACTCGGTTCAGCTCGACTCGATCCAAGCTTGGCTCAACAATAATTTTCGGCCCGCACGGATCTGTCGTGCCAACCGTTGGTCCAACCAGACCTGAAAATATGGAGTTCCCGGACCCCTAGTATAAGCTACATTTGGGAACTAGGAATCAAGACCGTTAAGACCAGGGTTTTCTGTGGGGAAATCTGGAAAAAATTGTGAATTTTGTCTACGAATTCTGCCCGAAACAATCGATTTTTTCAGATTGTGGAGTAAAAGTTAACAAAAGTAAAAGGCCACAGTAGCAAGTATTCATATTTTAAAAACAAAGCAACGACATATAAAACAAATTGACAAAGCTAATTTATGTTTAAAAACAAAAAGTTTAAAAGCAACATCGAACCTATCAGTATTTTTTTTTATCAGCATTTTAGAACCAAATTTTAATAATTGTTATCAAGTACTCCTAAAACCACCATTTTTACTGGGGTTTATTCCGTACCCCAACCCCCAGGACCCCTATAGAAAAGTCAAATGGACGCCCATATTTTGAATTACAGTAGGTCTATTATTTTATATCTACCATAAAATTTAGTTTAAATCGGTACAATAGAGGTTATAATTTCAGATAGCCATCTGGTTTGTTGAGAAATCAAATTAGTCAACACCTGCTTATGTTCTGCTAATTAAGAGATGGAGAGACAAGGCTGTCCGTAATGTATAAAGTTCAGAAAACAATTGTAGATTATTTTAACAAATAAAATGTTTGTGTACAGTTGTATATTTTAAGATGACATGACAGTATAAAAATTAAAATATTGTACAAAAATGACTGTTGTAGATCTTTCTGTACTGAAATAACCTTTAAATATAAATAATTGATTGACTGAAAAAATGGGTTATCCAAAACGGCTTTGCCCCCTTTATTTAGGTTTAACGGTATTTTACTATACTTAAAAAAGCACAGATTTCTAAAGTCAAAGTTAATTTTAGATGGTTATAGAGATTTCTACAAAATACGCACCCTGCAGAATCTATATATTAATTACGTAAGCCGATTCTTTGCGTCAAAATTGTGGGCGACTGGGAAGTCGTATAAAGACGGGAGAGGGCTCAAATTAAAGGTCTCAAACTTGTGACGGCGGGAAAAATATTGAAATTCCCAAAATGTTAACACAAAATTAGATATAATGTCAAATGTTCTCCATAAGAATAGCATTGGAAGCCATACACAGCTGGTTTTTGTTTACTTTAATTATAGGTGATCTCGCTGTACCTCCAAGCCAGTATTCAATACACACAGTTGATTATTTCTTAGCCAGTTAACTCTGCAATGTACTGTATACTATATTAAAATCAGGGATAATGTTATCTATAGTTGAGACTTTTTGAAAACCAAAAACCAAACCAAAACGTTTCGTGTCAACTGTCAATTCTAATGGAAAGGAATTTCGTGATTGGCTTGGACAACTGGGAAATGGAATCCTAAAACCATAAAATAATACTCAGTTTGGTTAATAAAACTGTTCCTCATTCCTCCTGTTCAACTGTTCCTCCTGTTGTTCATTTTGTATCGTACTTCCCTAAAGTTTTATCATCATTGGCCGCGCAACGGACAGAAACACATAAAGGACAAATATACGGACAAACATTGGATTTCATATAACAAGAACAAAAAAAATCTGAGACTTTTTACACAAATATATGGTGTACAGGTACAGGGATAACCATCTTGACAAAGAATAATTTGATTCTTAGTTTTTTTAATATAACAATAAGTTGTTTTACATTTTGAGTCTTTTAGGGACTTATGTCCCTACATGCCACTAGTTTAATTTAAGTGTATAAGAATCCTAAAATTCCTTCTCTAGATGGATACTACAATTAGCACAACATACCTACACATGATTACACAGTTATTTAAATAAATTTACAAAATATAAATATATCTGAATTTATACATAAAATAAAAGTTAGCAGACTATACCTTAATGTTTGCATTGAATCAAACATAAGAACAAATCCGTGGGATGTGCCGACACTCACCATTGTAGTGACTGCCATAACTGTGGGCTTACCAGCATTTACCCGGTCCTGAAAACAAAGTCCTTATAAGAGTTAATAACTTTTAAGTGCAACATGATATAATTTACATTTAAACACACAAAGAAAATATTTACTATTTTAATAGACTTTTTTAACTTACTAACAGGAATAATAATCACATTTCCTGTACAGTTCATTTGTTTAAAAGGGTGTTTTATTTATTTTCAGTATAAAATGACACAAGCATAATTGATACTACAATAAAGAGGTACTAGTGTACCTGTTGCTTGAATTCGAGCAATTGCTAAGTATTAGAAGCGTTATTTTAAAACAAATACGTCATAATTTCTGATGACTTTAAAAGATTCGACTCAAAGATTATGGAAATATACTCAAGATGTACATAACAGATCTATATAATTAACATTTCTTGTAAATATCTCCTCATTTTTTAAAAGCGCATCTTGTTTTTTAGGGTTTTTGTATCTCGACTGTCTATAGTTTTCGTGACAATAATAATTAGGAATGAACTAAATTGATAACATTTTATTTGAACATGTCTTTTGTAAGAAGTCTATAACACTAATAATATTTGTTTACATCACATCATAATAATCTAAATAAAACACATGTTTTATTTACAGTCTTTATGAAACATCCTCCTCCTTAAAGATCGAGTCTCCTTGGAGGATGTGTTGGAGGATGCCCGTGTCTAGTTTTGTAACTTGAGTTGTCCTCTCTTGGTTTTGGACTTCTGGTACAGACACTTGTTGAATTTTGTTCTGTCACATTGTCTCGTGAGGTTGTACTTTTAAGTCGTCGGGAAATGGTAGAAGATGGAAACGGTTTCTTCTTAGGTCTCTTGTATAAGTCCTGACAAAATATGATCGTGGCTCAGTTGCTGTTCTTACAACCGTTCCAGGTTTTCCCACGTCAGATATCCAAACGCTGTCTCCAGATTTCAAACTTCCAAGAGATTTGGCACCAGGCCTGGAGTCATAATTTCTCTTGTACTTTTCTCTATAATTCCTCTCCCTTTGTTTCAAGTCACTCAAATCTGGCTTTTCTGTTAAGAGTCCAGGCAAAACTGGAAGGTTATCTCGTAAACGTCGTCCCATTAGTAGTTGTGCAGGGCTATACCACAGCCACCTCTAATACAAGGCCGCGGCGAGCGAAAAGTGGCAACGTTGCATCCGTGTCTTGGTGCGCGGTCGTCTTACCATTACAGTGAATGGAGGAGTCGCGTACCGACGTACATAATCGCGTTTCTACTACCCTTAATCATCAGTAATGACATTGAACTTGTTACTACATCATGCCCGATAGATGTGATTTGCCTGGATGCAAGAATAATTACAAAAGCTCAATTAAAAATGAATAATACATACAGTGTTCTAAGATTCTATATAATCCGCCGCGTAAGCAACAATTGCTTCCTGCTATTCTTCGGTCAAATTAGACATCTTAAACAATTCTCGTTTTTGTGTGAGCATTCCCATGAACTTAGATTTGTAAAAAAAAATTTAAGAATAAGACAATGATTCGTGTAAATATAGATGCGAGAAGCGAGTTTTAGGTATGAGAATGCCGTACTATTTCCTTATTTATTTGTCTTATTAATAAAAGCTGTTGTTAAGTGTAATATTTTATAAGAACAAGATAAAATCTAGTGTATTCAATTTATTCTCCATTTCAATCACAGCTCAATAATTATTGTTATTTACAAAATTAACAATCAGAACAAAACAAAAGTCTTTAACATCTGGAATCCAACCAACATTATAAAATCAAATGCTGCTTCTTGTACAATTAATATAAACATATATTACACTCGCCAACACTTAAAATTTGCTTGGCTCATAATACTTTAAAACTTTAAAATTTCTTCTGACTCTTTGGCTTCTCCAACTTTATAGATCCAATTTCTCCGGCTTGTGCACAGTCCTTTGTGATCTCCTCAAAACTGTAGATGGACTGTATTGCACACCCCGTGGTTTCCCAACATCAGACTTCAATCTAGGCAAATAAGGTGAAGCATCATGTCTTGATATTGATGGTGATGTAGACTCCTGAAGAATAGGCAAATCTCTATTGAATTCTTGATGATGTGCCTCAATAGTCCTTCCAACTTCCTCTTTCCGCACAATGATTTCGTCCTCCTCTACCTCAGTTGGTCTAAGATGGTCTGCATGGCAAACTCTTGTTTTGCCAAGAACACTAACCAAATAAGTAACTGGACTTTTACACTGTAATATACGACCTGGAACCCAACTAACTTTCTCCTGTCTGACTGTTTTAACCAACACCTTCTGATTTTCATTAAAAAATCTACACGCACCTCTATGCCTATCTGAGGCTCGTTTCTGCATTTCCTGCTTCTTCCTTGACTCGTCTATTAGATTAGGTTTTAACATAGTCAATTTTGTTCGAGGTTTCCAACGTAAGAACAGTTCAGCCGGGCTCACACCGGTTACTGACGATGGAGTATTACGATATGCGAAAAGAAAGTTATCCAATTTATACTGCAGTGATGTCTGCTGAGATGATTTTTCACCCAAAACTTGCCTTAACAAACTTTTCTTAACTTCTTGAACAGAACGCTCGGCTGCTCCATTGGAGGCAGGGTGATATGGTGGAGAAAATGTTAGTTTCACACCATTTTTTCTAAGAAACTCCCTGAATTCTAGGCTGGTAAAAGACGTGCCGTTGTCACACACCAACTCCTCAGGTAAACCATAAGCAGAAAATAGTGTACCAAGTTTCTCAATGGTCTTCCCCGTGGAAATAGAACCCATTAAAAATACTTCCATCCACTTTGAAAAACTATCCACTACAATCAACATTTGTGTCTGGTGGTTGGACCTTCAGCAAAATCGATATGAATTCGGCGCCATCTCTCGGAAGTTAACGGCCATTGCTGCAATGGAACTTTTGAAGCAGCATTTCTTGTACTTTGACAAATCAAACAAGATGACACAGCATCCTCAATTACTTTTTCGATCCCAGGCCACCACACGTGGCTGCGTGCCAACAATTTCATTCGAGTAATTCCAGGATGTTGTTCATGCAATATCTGGATGACTTTACCTTGCAATTTCTTAGGTATGACTACTCTACTGCCCCATAAAATGCAATTTTTATCCACTGACAATTCATCTCTCCTTCTCTGAAATGGAATTAACATTGGGTCTACAATTTCACGCCACCCATACAACACAAAATCCCGAACTTTAGACAACAGTGGGTCTTTATCAGTCAATTGTCCTATCTCTAAAGAAGTGATTGGAGAATCGTCACTCCCCGAATTGAAGAAGTTCATTTCTCTTACACAAGATTCCACATGAGATATATAATTTTCATCCAACTCCAAAGTTTCATTCTCGGGTAGTGGTAAGCGTGACAACGCATCAGCGTGAGGCAAACTGGAACCCTTCCGATATTTTACCTCAAAATTGTAGGCAGACAAAATCAGGGCCCATCGTTGTAGGCGAGCAGCAGCTAAACTAGGCACCCCTCGCTTCGATCCAAAAATAGCTGCTAGTGGCTGATGATCACTTTGTAAAATACAATTGGTACGCCCATAAATGTATTTATGGAATTTCTTCACTCCAAAGATCAGTGCCAACGCCTCCTTGTGGAGCTGTGAATAGTTCTTCTCACTGGCACTCAGTGTTTTTGATGCAAACGCTATAGGTCTTTCTTCTCCGTTTATGATATGGGACAAAATGGCAGAAACTCCTTTAGGACTAGCATCACAAGTGAGCACTAAAGGTTTCAAGACATCATAGTGTACTAAAACATCAGAACACAGAACCCAAGATTTACTTTCTTTGAATGTTTGAGAACATTGCTCGGTCCATTTCCATGGAACATCTTTCTTTAACAGTTCATAAAAACAATGAATTTTAGCAGACAAGTTTTGAATAAATTTTCCATAATAGTTTATTAAACCAACATAAGCCCTTAGCTCGTCTTTACTAGTAGGTTCGGGAGCTTTTTGAATAGCTTCAACAATACCTTGTTGTGGACTGACTCCTGATGCTGAAATGACGTAGCCTAAATATTCCACTTCAGGCTGTAAGAACTTGCATTTACTCCCATTAACTTGTACTCCAAATTCCATAAGACGCTGTAACAATTTCTCCAATCTATAAAAGGCTTCCTCTCTTGTTGATCCGCCAACCAAAACATCATCTAAATAGGCTACAGTACCTGGTAATCCGTTTATAATTTGATCGATCACAGCTTGAAATATAGCTGGAGCTGAAGAAAGTCCAAATGGCAGACGTCTTAGTCGAAATAGTCCCTTGTGAGTTGTTAACGTCAACAGAGGTTGTGAATCCTCCGCAACAGCTAATTGTTGATAAGCATTAGTAAGATCCACAACTGAAAAATATGTACAACCAGACAGAGAAGCAAATATATCCTCAGGTTGAGGTAATGGATAATGTTCCGTCTGTAACACCGGATTCAATGTTACTTTGAAGTCTGCGCACAATCGGACACCATTAGTCTTGGGCACTGTAACTAACGGAGTAGCCCATTCTGAACTAGAAACTCTGTACGCTATACCATCCTCAACCCACCGATCTAATTCTTGTTCTACTTTTTCCCTTAACGAGTAAGGCACAGGCCTAAATTTGCAAAACTTAGGAACAGCATTGTCCTTGAGAGTGACTTGAGCCTTAACACCTTTTATTTCTCCTGGCCCCCCTTGAAACACTGCATTGTACTTTTTCTTTAACGCCTCTACTTCAGCCTCAAGTTTGCCATTAGGCAACACAACTTCACAATTAGATTGCTTCAATTCACATGTGGTAACATTCACTGTAGACTTAGATTTAGTACCAGTAGTATCATACGATCTTGAAAATACAGCATGCCAATCCAACTTTAATTTTGCTAACCAGTTCCTTCCAAGCAAAATAGGCTGGTCTTTACGACAAACCTCAACAATCAATAGTGGTAACACTAGGTTCTGGTTTTTATATAAAACTCTAACCTCAGCTTGACCTAGACGCTTTAATTCAATATGAGAAAAATGTTCA